TATCAATGTTGGAAACATGTTTTCATTTTTATTTTGCTCTCGAGACTGAAATGACATGTTATATATTAAGTATATTTAGATACCAGCACCGACAGAAAGCATCGCAAACATTTCCATCCGTATATTCGCGGGCAGGGCTGACCGCTCGGCTGTGCTTAATGCAATACAGGGGATCGGACAGGGGCATCGCGGGAGTACTCAGGTAGAATAAGTGGACTTGCGGCTCGCCAACGTTGAGCCGCACTTGCCGACGCGTGTCATGATCACGAATCGCGATCTCGATCGCATTTGACGAGATCTCGTATCAGTGATTTATGTACAGATGAACGCCTTCTACAGGTTTAAGAACGCTTTAAAAATATATTAATGTCTACTAGGAATAATCAACCTATTAATAAATTTGGAAATGAGAGTATTAATAAATTTAAATTTCTCTCGAAAAATAATTGCTTTACAAATAATTATGTGACAAAAAATCAAATGCTCTTTATCTTTCATAGCAACTTAGGATGTACCGGGCAAACAATTATCTGATGTTCTGACTTTTTCAACTTACTCTCTTTTTTTTTAGAGCTTCCATTATTGCACGTTTGCATTAGCTATCATAAATGCTTTATTCGCTAATAAAAGTGACTCGACTTTCTAATCCCTTTGGCTGTCAACGAGCAATCAATCGACCCATCAATCAAAGTGATCAATCATCAACCGGCGTGATCCTCTCTCGCGTTTCACATGAACGGATTAATTGATATCTGGGCGTGGTAACACCTGGTTTGCCGATCGATACCGAGGACCCCCTCGGTGGCCGCACGTATACCCCCCCCCCCCCTGCGTGCGCGCGCGCCTCTTTATATTTCCGGAAAGAGCAACCGACTAATTCGGAATCGGCTGACGTTTCTTTTCCTCCCGACAGCCGTGGAAATCAAAGACATCGCCGCTCTCGCGTCGCGCACGCGAGAAGCGAAAATCCAATATAAAACCAATATCGGAAGTGACGAGCCGCGAATACTCCCCCCCCCCCTCATGAATCCCTCACTCTCCTCCTTCTGCTACTTCTCCTCTCGCTCGCGAAAGTACTTTTCTTATGGGGGTGTCTGGAATTTCGCTTAGTGTGACTCTCTGAGCACATGGGCAATGATCAATGCAAAGACTGGGACGAAATATTTTTTTTAAACTCGCATCCTTTTTGAGTTAAATGCAATTATTTAGCTGTCGGATTCAACAGACGTTCAAAATAAAACAATACACACGATTTTAATTTTTTGAATTCGGAAACAATATTTTCCCTAAAAAAATTTTCTTCACTTCCCTTAAATATTATACATATCTTTTCGCTAAAATACTATTCTAATTATATGCGTGATTTATACATATATTATGTGATTTATTTGTAGTGCTACTAAAATAACTCGCTTTTTCTTTATATGTATAAAAACACTTATTATTTTCTGGTTTATGCAGAGTGCGCGCATATACATCGTGTAAATCGGTGTGTTGCGTGTTTATTCACGACGCAACGTTGCAGCCGATAATTGAGTCGAACGTGTCGTTCGTAACACGCGCGTGCTTTCAGTGCACAGTTCGTTTAGACAAACAACGCACAGCCATTTGCCTCGGACAACGAGGTAGCGTGATGAAAAACCGGCGGCTATGGAAAACACGTACGCGCGTATGGCCACGTGGGCGCGATGAAGTGCTCGCGTAATACGTGAGTGCAAGTTTAATATCGGAGTGGCGAGATATCCCGTTGCCTTTAAGAGAGCGACGAGAGTTGCGAGAGATACTCCACCTTATTGAATGATCCGTAGTTGACAGCGGGGTTCACCACAATTTCTCTCGACGACACCTGCGACGCGCGAACGATTATTTATTAAAACAAATATACAGACAGACCATTAAGGTCAGATTAAGATAATCGGTGCGACATTATAAGGTACTATAAAGTTAAATTGAAATTCCGCGGAGAATTAATTTCGTGCTTCAATGTATTTTATTATATTTTAAAAATAGTATTGGAACAAACAATTTTGCTGGATACAGATACTGAAAATAATTCTTGTTGGAAATTCAAACTGATTGCTAGAATATCAAAACGTTTTGCAGCAATGCTTATTATTTTTCAACAATATTATTTTGATGGTCCAACAAAATTATTTTTAGATCAAAATTTTCTGACTTTCCAGCAAAATCATTCTTTCCATGAAGATAATATTTTTCGAATAGTTTTTTTAGAATAAATACGCTTTAAAAAGAGCATAGATAGCTCGAAAGTGCTTTTAGGATTCTATTGTTTGAAAAAAAAATCTTCCCTATTACTTTCCGCTCCAAATTTTTAAAATTTTGCAAATACTTTTTTTAAAATCTTTTTATTTATTATAGTTTTATCTGTAAATCGTCATGATTAGCTTAATTATATTCAATTAAACTTTAATATATAATAATTATATTTAAATTAATTTATGTTGCACTAAAAAAAGGTTTACATCTATGTATAATTTATGCGTGTTTCCTAATGCGCGTTTTCTTTTTATGCGCTTTTATATATTTGTGCGTGGGATTTTCCACTGTCGAAGTTTTCCTTAAGGGAAGCCACGCACGAGAGTTTCCCGGAAGGAGGATTTGCCGACGAACTTTTCCGCAGACGCTTTTCCCGGTCCACTATTTTTTCTCCCTACTATTGCCACCGGCGCACGTGTGTCCGGTGCTTTTGTTCCGGCACTAACGGCGATCGCGCTCTCGACCGAGTTCTTGCCCTAATGGAATTCATTATCCCGAACTCGTGCACCGACATACTTATTCTTCTCCCTCTGAGAGTAGCGCTAGCGCTATAATTCAAAGTTCGCATGGCATTTTCCAGGTAAATTAACCAAGTTTTCCTCCGCTCACTTAATTATCTTGTAATGAGCATAATACACGACTTCTATAGTCCGACGTTATAAAAAGATTAATGAATAATATTATAAAAGAAACTTAATAATAAACCTACTCTCTGTTTTGAAAATGATGCTGCGCATATTTTAAAGATAATAAAACTCTCCTTGCCATTATTAATGTCTTTTTAATTCTTTTGCAAACGAGAGACGAGAACAATTCTAACACACGCTTTTTGTGCTTTAGCGAATGAACGAGAAATAATATCAAGGCAGAAGAAATAAAAAATGATGTTAAAGTCGCGAGGCGTTCTCTTGTTGACAATAGCATTATAGTTACCGTATACATTTACAGTTTCGCAAGCGATAAATAATTTGCGAGTAAACAGAGTGGATCGACGTGTGAATGTGGAAGGTGCCAAAAACCGCTCGACGTCTCGTTGAAATGCGCCGTCGAGCGAAAGTGATATATTTCACAAGTAAATTTGCATCTATTCCCGCCCCGCGGCGGGACAGGTGTGGGACTTTCGCGGCCGCTTCTTTCCGTTATATCCGCGCCAATCCCCCCCGCATCCGTCACCTCGAAGGCAGCGGCTGATCCTCGGGCCGCGCGCGTGTTGGAAATGTAAATCAAACCGAGGCCGAGCACGAGGCGCGCAACCCCTCGTTCGCGGCGTCGCCTCGGGGCGAAGAGTATGTAAATGACACGGCGTGCGGCGCGTCAGATACGATCTCGTTACCAGCGCGACAGACGCGAGCCGAGAAAGCAGGGAGGGGGGCCGAAAGGGAAAATTTATTGCGCGCGCGGAGATCAGCGTGGAGTCCGCGCTCGCAACGCACGCGGCCTCGAGATCTCGAGGTGAAACGGCCGCAAACGTGATCGAGCAGCTCCTGACGAACGGAATGCGAATCTCGAATCCCCCTTCGAGCCACCCCCTCCGTGAAGTCGAAATCGCGAATCGTTTCACGAGAGATTGCAGCGTGCAATTCTCACGTCTCGCCTGGGGGATCGAATGTCTATTTGCCTATTTGTTATACCCTATCTGTAAATTGCTGTCGCTTTGTAAGTTTCGGTGTAAATTTATTGCGACTACATCGGTATAGTTCTTCTTATAAATTGTTTGCTGCACTTTCCGTTTTTATTTAAGTAAAGTTAAAAAATAAGCTCGATATGTTCTGCGAGTTAAAAAAATAAATAAATAAATAACCCCGACGCGACGTCGATATCGATATTGAAAGGCAACGAAATAATGTCGGTTTGGTAGATGCATTGCAGTTGCATTACCGCAATGCACCTGTGATTTATTTGCTCGTCGGCGCAGTAGGCATGCATAATACGCAGGATGCCATAAATTTTGACGACACAATTGGTACCGGCAATCGCGTCGAAATGCTAACGAAAATTTATTCATTCCACGTACGACGCCATTTTCGCTGTGACATCACAGCGAAATTCGTGACGGTACGATCTCATAATTTCGCGCACGGACGCGTCGCAAATTTCGCGAATACGGCACAATTTCTTTCGAGCCGTTCACATCGGATATCAAAAAATAAGGCGACAAACCAAAAGGCGTACGGATATAAGCGTCGCGTTTTTCACACTTTAAGGACGACGTTTTTCCTAAAAGGCTAAAAGGACAAACTTGGGCGTGTATAAAACGACAAGTGGGGTCGGCGGATTTTCTCGCGAGAAAATATATTCCAGAAACCGGTTTATATTATATAAAATGAAAATACCGATCTCTCTCGCGATGTTAAATTTCTGTAAATGGAAGTTTTTTTGAGAAGACGAAAAAATAAAGTATCCTTTCTGGAGCTTTACTGGCAAAAATATGTAAGTAAATCACGTTTATTAAGCGTGGCGTAGAATTTATTTAAATTTTGTTATTCAAATCTTAAACATACTTGCATCGCGACCCCGTTATTTTTTGACGGAAATCATAATATTCGCGGTATTTTGTCGCATCGTGTCTCTGCTGCAAGCGACAAGAAAACTAACTCCTTCTAGATCTTATCGACCGCGGCGAGTCTCCGCTCGGCGCTTTGTCGCACACGGCACGGCAAATAAAGATCCGTCGCTTGATCGCGGGGCTTTGTTGTTAAGGGACGAACAAAGCGGCGACTTACCGCGGCAGGACATGGCGAGCTGTCCCTGGAGAGACTGCCGAGAGTCACCAATAAACGACGCGGGGCCCCCAACACCGAGTCTCGCCATCCCTCTGCAAAGAAGCAAGAAACAATTGCATTATACATCGATGGACGTTTCTCATCTCGGCGTGCAATGTGCCATCTGTTTCTCGGACGAGCGGGTCGAACTGGAATTCGACTAGCGTCCGACAAAGCAATGAACTATTAGCGACGTGAAATGCTCGCATCTTTAAATCTTCAAGATTTTATTTAATAAAATAGGAAAGACTTCTACATTCAATATGATTCAATATTATGTTATATTTGTGTATTTATGAGTCGCAGTTACTGTACCAATATTATATCTTTGTTATCAAATCACTTTGTAAAATTTTATTTAGAGATACCGAACTAGATCTTCTTTAAGAGATCTTCTTGTAAAGATCAAGGAAGTGCAGCGTATCCTTCCGCACCCTTCGGGCTGATCTTAATCATTTACTATCGTCGGACGATAACGAAAATGAAACGCGGTCACGTAGCCGGGAAGTGTCTTGAATTAAGGGTAGTCGCGTCTCCAAATCGTAATACCGCCGCCTAAATCCGGTTTCAGCGCCGCCCTTAATGCGGACGAAGACAAAACGATCTGTCATCGAGCCTTTTAATGAAAGTCGCGCCTACAACTTAGGGCCGTCTGGCTTAAGACGCAAAAGACGGAGAAAGGTAGAGGGAGAGAGAGAGAGAGAGGAACTAAGGTGAAAGTCGAACGCTTAATCTAGCAATATGAAACTTCCCTGAGGGCTTAACCCGTATCCCACCCTCTGGTAACCACATTATTCCACAAACACGTACGCTCTTGCCGCGCGCATATTACGTCGCAAATTCGCGAACGGTTGAAATTTATTTAAAAATATATTCTTGTAAAATAGAAAAGAAATTGAAACCCAAAGCGTAATCGCACTGATAAAAATCGACTTTACTTTAATTCTTATTTATCGAAGCAGCCAGTTGCGAAGTAAAATACGAGCGAAGAGTACCGCGAATTTATCGTTCATTCATTCGGGATGACAAACGCCTTTCTGCCTCCCCCCTCCCCCCTGAAAAAATCCTACGGGTGAGTGCACATACTCCGCTCCGTAATAATAATAATAAAGTTACGGCCCAACCTCGGTTCAGAGGAGAACAAGATACGGCTGATGGTGCGCCGCGGCCACTAACCGGCCGCCGGATTAATAAATCTCAATTACGCGAGTTAATGCAGAGGGTAATTCTCTCCCCTAGGCCCCCACGGTGGTCGCCGGATAGGAGGGTGAAGGCATTTCTATCGCGCATTGTTGCCGGGAACAATGACGCCGACGATTCCGCCCGGCGCTTGTAAACCGGCTCGTCGCCGCGTTCTTGAAACTTGCTATCGCTCGCGTATTACAGGTCTCTGTCGTTATTAATCCTCCCGGGAAAATAACCAATGCGCCAGTAACAAAGCAGGTTCAGAAATTTAATAAGGAAAAATATAATAAGCGTTGTCGCATGCAGAGCGCTCGATAATGTCTCTCCTGTCTGTGTCGCCTTGCCGAGAGACACAAAGTAATTTTTCTTCGATGGTGATAATACAATTTTTATCAGTTGTAAAAAAAAGAGATTTGGACGAATTGAGATTGATAATAAATCGCAAGATCTTAATCCATTAACGTAAAAAATAAGTTGTAATTTCTAAAATGTCTCCTGTAATTTTTCATCTAAAAATATATTTGAAATAATTTTAAGATAACTTGAAAAATATATTAAATTTTAAATTGCGCCGCTTCATATTATTTTTAACTTCTGCTCTTCTGTCTCCGTTTTTTATTCTTTATACATGGCACAATACGCTATTCTTATATATAATACGCTATTCTTATATATAATACGCTATTCTTACATAATACGCTATAAATCAAAGGAAATACAACTCGGCAATGTAAACCGGTATAGAATTCGTAGCGCATTCAGATTAGAACTAGAGGAAAACGTCTTCCTCTCGTCGTACCGAGGGTAAAGTTCCGTGCTTCAAATCAGGATCCGAGGTTTCGAGGGATTAAGATGTCGCGAAGTGAGCGAAACGACCAGCTAGCCAGCCAGGCAGCCGCTGAATACAAATACACGCCTCTCGTTTGCACGTCGAATTAAACCGAAATAAATCATAAATATTAAACGAGGCTTTCAGTCGCGGGATTACGAGGGCTTGGGGCGCCGTTCTCCCCCCTGATCGTCGGACGGACCCCGATGAGCGGAAATTGCGCGCGGTGCGCGCCCTCTTCCCTCTTCGCGTCCGGGGACAGCCCGGGAATCTCAATGACAATGGACTCGGTACTCGACCGAGATACGGCCTCGCATACCCCGTCCTGGTGGCCACCAGAGAAGACCTCGCTGGTCTTCCGAGCGGTGGCAAGACGAGAGCATTCCACACGATCTTCCTGGAGATTTTGGTTGACCAAACAAAAACGGTGGCTTGGTGGAACGGGAGATGGTCGCGGATTCTCTTGTTAGTGCTAATAAGCATGCAAGCATCATGCATCTTCTTCGACTAATAATATAATTTTATATATCATAAATAAAAAATAATTAGTCATCTATTATTTTTGTATAAAAATGTAATATAAAAGGTTTTAGTAAGAAACAGGTCAGATCTCATAACAAGAAATTTCTTGTTTAATTTGAAGATGTCATTTTCTTAACAAGAAGCACTAAAAATTCCCTCGACTAATTAAGTCTTAATATAAAACTTGTAAATTACGGATTTTTTTTGCTTTAATGCAATTATACTTTATTTGGATCTAACTGGTATGACAGTACAGAGCTAAGACTATCCTTCTGCGAATTTTTCATTTTTCCTGCGATTTTATTAACGAGAAATTTGAGCTCATTTATATTAAAGTTCAAATTCTAAAAGGATTCAACCATAAGGAAAGTTCCAGGGGTCGTTCTATTGAAATACTCAAGTTTCTGATCTCGTTTCGCGACGAGCTACAACTTCTATAAGTGGATTAAACCTTCGTCGTAAAGGTACAACGAGATTACCATACCGTATGCCTTTATTGATATTCGCGGGGCGATATAAGTATTACTTGTATTTACTTTATATGTTTATACTTTATTGGGAAATGGGAACGTATTTAAATTCAGTAAGGAAGCCTCTAGTTCGTGTAATTAAAAGTATATATTTGAGTTCCAGTGTTCTACGTGAAAACAGACCTGTGTAAAAGTTATGAAAAATTATAAATCATACTTAAAATTAAGTCAAACTTGGAAATGTCAACTATATATATAAGCTGTATTTCTCGACCTAATTGCCGTTTCCTTTCTTCATTCCTCCCTTCCTTCCTTCCTCGCCTGACAGCTGACGAAGCGCGTAAATAGTTCTAAAGATGCGAATGAAGATGCGGATTCCAACTTTCACCTTCGTGTTCTCTCGGAAGTTTGAGAAAGTTGTGCGACTGCGGCCGAAGGAAAATCGATGGTCGTTCCGGCCGAATCCTCGTTCCAATCCCGCAGGAAACGAAATGGCTTGATTAACTGACGACGCGTCGTTACTGCGGCCACCCTGCCGGTCCGCTATTACCCCGTAGGGGTGGACCAGGCTTAAGGGGTGCCCTAGGCAAGAAGAAAACGCAAAGGGAACGGCCAACCCCATACGCCCTTTATCGACTGCGATCACGTTTTTTTGTCCCTTCTCCTCGATAAAGAGTCTTTCGAGTACGCGTGTGTGTCTGACTGGCGCCATTTAAAGATCATACGAAGAGGATGCAGTCGTTTCCCGTTTTTCCGAGCGCCAAAGTCAACCGCATCCTTTCAACGATTTAACCGCAGCATGTAGGGACAGCGAGGAATTTTTACGGCGTTAGAAAGAGAAATTTTTACGATCGCGGAACCAATCCCAGGTTTTTCGGACAGTTTTATCGTCCGTTCGTTTAGTGCATTAAAATACTGACAATGAGTATTATTCTCCGGTAACATTCAGTAAAATCAGATAAAATACTGAGTACCCTCTGGTAACTTTCGCTATTAAAATCAGATAATATTTCATGTGTACTAGCTAATCAGAAAAGTTAAGCCATTTTGCAATAACAGATTCCTATTTTCAGTTCGTTCAGTTTTTTATTCTGAGATCTGAGTGTCTATATATACGTGCTGCGATCGTTCGTAAATGCTTTTGTCAACGCAGTTCATGATCAAATTAAACAATAAAATTGTCGAGTGCCTATATCTAGCAGTCAGATCAAATTTGAAATTCAAGCCGGATCGACTTCAAACTAGAAATTCAACCCGATGTAATTTCATTGAGTTTAGATTGCCACATAGACGCGAGAAAAACTCTGTCTCTTATATCGACATTTTAAATAACGTAAAAATGTTACATTTCTAGAAAAGATCTGACATTTATACATTAACAAAAAAACCCACAATTATTCCCGTTCTACTAATTTTGCTTGGCCAATAAAAAAGATATATACTTTTTAAATCAAGAATTAGTAGATGATCGTCATAGAGATAATATATATATTAACGTAAAGATGTTATTACATTTTTAGAAAAAGTCATTTTTAGATAAAGACATTTATACGTTAACAAAAAACTCACAATTATTACCGTTCTACTAATTTTGGTCAATGAAAAAGATATATATTTTTAATCAAGAATTAATAGATGATCGTCATAAAGATAAATATTTTTTAAATCAAGAATTAGTAGATCGTCAAAGTAGTCTCTCCTCGACGGCGAGGTTCGTCCTTTCTCTCTCGTACGAATAAACTCAGCCGGTCGATCGACATATGGGGAGTAGCGCTAATGCCGTTTTATGGACAGCCTGATACTCATAACGCAACATGGTACCCCGGCGATGGTACCAGCTCGCGTGCGAACGGGACGACCGTGCGAGGGTGGAAAGATCTCATCGACGTCGTCGTCGTCGTCGTTGTAGGGAACCGTTGTGTGCCGAATGACATGCCGCGTCGTGCGACGCTTTACTTTATTCATAAGGCGGGGATGGCCCGCTTTTACGGGCGCTCTTGATGGCACGGCCGTGCGACAAAAGTCGTAGCGCGATATCAGATGTTCC